CGAGCCAGTTGTAAGCAGAGCGTCATGGTAGAAAGAACGCACGCTAAAGCTTGGGTCCACTTCACTAAATGTGATGGGTAACTGGGTGATGATGAAACCAGCGACAACGATCTAAGTGAGACATCCTCATCTTAATCTGCTCCGGTAGGTAAATAAAATGTTTAAGATAACGTTAGCTTGATATGTTAGTATCCGTTTCGCTAATGGTGCGTTCACTTTCTCCTCGGAACTCCGAATTTCCGACTAGAAGAACATGAACGCGCTCTAAAGTTTGGCTTCACTTTACTAAATGCGACGGGTGATTGGGTGAAGATGAAACCAGCGACAACGATCTAAGTGTGAGGCATCGTCGTTTTAATCTGCTCCAGCAGCAAAATAAACTGTTTAAGATTACGTTAGCTTGATAAATTAGCTTCCATTGCCACCATTGTTATCAGCTAATGGTGCGTTCACTGAAGATGTTTGCTTCAGTTTAATTATCAGCTTATAAAACTACAAGGACGATGTTGAAATACAAACAGTTGTATGTTATTTATCGTGATATTTATCAAATATGGTTACATTCTGAGAAAAATATATATTTAATTATAAAAGAGAATTAAAATATTAAACACTCAAAAGTATCTAAAATTGGTACCGTTAAGTACCGGTATCGATTCCTAGGTACCGGGAATTGGTACCGAATCGATTCAAATGTCAAAGGTACCCATCCCTAGATATCAGTTGAATTTTTTTGCCTTGGACGGTCCAACTATGAGGCCATAACATTTATTGATTTATTTTTATTAATCCGGTAGATTTTTGGGGCCTTTTTTCTGAAAAGCTAGCATGTGCTGCCATAACCCTGAGGTTGGGCGGCCTTCTTGGATTTTGTGGTTTATGGGTTCGATCCCAACATTCTATTTTTATTTATTGAATAAAGCACCGATTTTAAAGACCTGTCGATACACAGCAGTGCATATTGGAATTCAAAGTCAAACAATTATATATAATTGAAAATAATCATCCACACCAGTATTAAAAACAAACAGATGCCCTTGAAGGAAAGCGCTACCACAGAAGTGAAAAACAGAAAATGAAATTATGTGTGTGTGCGTGTGTGTGTGTGTGTCGTAGCTTTCACAAATTACTTGTTTATTCTTTACCGGAGCTAACACGGTTAGCGCTGTGGCAGTCATGCTAACGGGACTCGCCTGCTGGAGTCCAGAGGTACCGGTGCGGTTCTAGATGGATTTATAGATGTAGGTTATTATTTTAGATCAAATCTATGTTAGTTAAAAATACGTCTAGGACACGGACATATGGCTCAGACCTTTAGCTGCAGCTGTAAACGCAATTTTCAGTTTTAATTAGGAACACGATAGTAAACAAAATACAGTGACTTACCATGCTAGCAACAGCAGCTACCTAGTATGACATGTGTGAGTGACGTATGCAAAACACAGTTCTTTGCTGCCTGGAGGAGAGAAATTAGATTTTCTGTAATATTTATGACTAAATTCTTTCACAAAACGAAAAACTGAACCCAGTTCATATTTATATAGATGGTAAAGTGTAGTTATACTGTATTTCTACAATTTTAATGCCCAGTCTGGCCAATACCTTTAAAGAACCATTAAAATAATAATAATAATAATAATAAAGAACCGTTAATGATGAGCTTTTTAATCCAGCCATGGGACATTTAAATGCCACTGCATTACAGTATGGCCATTAAAACAAAAGGCCTTGATTTGTTCATTCATGCTTGGTTTCTTCATTGAGTTCACTGGAAAATATTTAATCAGTCAGTACAAAAATGTTCTGCTTCTCTCACACTCTGGACTTTCTGTAACCTTTGCTTCTCCTATGTGTGTATTAACTAGTTATGTAACCAACATGGCTTGACTTAGCGTGACAAAGGACATCATTTCTGTTAAATGACACCACAAGGCAGTGTGGGAAATCAAAAGTAAACAGTAGCCAGTACATTACACCCCTCCTTCTTCTACTCCTTCTCCTTTGACCTTTGTAAATGATGTGTTGAACTGTTTTTCAGCAGACCCTGATTTAGTCCTTCAAACATCCAATCAAATCCATTGCTTAGAGTTCAACTGGGACCATGACAGCTGTGAGAACATGGTTGCAGGAAGCTATGGAGAACACCATCCCAACAGGGTGGCAATGTCCCAGAACCTTTGATCCATCTATCTGAGATTATCACCTACAGATCCAACAAGCCCCAACACATCAGAACATGGAGGGCCGGTATGGGTCAACCCTGACTAAGCTCTATATATCTTTCATGCAGACTGATGCTCAGGCATCCGCTGGCCTACACCAACTAATGCAACCACACAACCCCACTTACCACTGGAGCCCTCCGTGTCTAGTTGCAGCTTAAAATTGGAAGTGGGCACCGGCACTCAGGGTGAGGCTGAGAGATCCCCCTGCCAGGTGCCGTTGAGTGTGCTCACCCCCAAGGCACTAGTGTGCATTTGCGTGGAATGTCTCTGGTGGAAGTGTTTGATGTGCAAATTAAAATTGGGGCACAAGCCGCCATGGGACTGCGGAAATTCGAAACATACCTGCACCCCCTGACTTACCCAGACCACAAAGCACTATGTGCATGTTTGTGTTTTGATGTGAAGGAGCAGGAATAGGAAAATGTCTGACAATGGGGAGGAATGGCCCCTCCAGGGAGCCAGCTCCCCCACTGGCCCAATTAGGCACTCCGTTTCCAAAATCCACCCAGGGCATGGGGACCCCAGCCCATCTAGCCAGGGCCCAAAGCAGCAGCATCGCAGAACCCCACGGAGTCAGAGGCCACTAACCCAGACCAACACCAGCACAGTATCTACTCCCATCCCCACATTTGATCAATTCTCCGACATCCCCCTCCCCCATGATGGAACAGAAGAGTTCCTGCCAGTCCAAGAGGAACCAAGGTCCACCAAAGGCCCCTGAGCCAGGGCCAGGCAGCGCTGCATGCTGCCGCCCTCTTGCCGGCAGCATACAAGCCAGGACACAATCCCCCAGGCTCAGCCCAGATCCCCATCCAGGGACGACTGCTCCTACACTCCTAGCCACCATGCCCTCACTCAGACCCACCCAGGGGTAATACAGCTATCAGACCGCAACCTGTGGCCACCATCATGACTTCCCAAGGCCCCAGACATGGCCACCAGATGTCCACCCACCAAGGCACGCCACCCAAGTACCACCAGAGTGGGTCAGCAGCTCCCCAGACCCAGAACCCCTCCAGTCTAAATGTTTTTCTTATAATTTTTCTTTCTGTTTCACTGAAATTAAACTGAGAGGAATTTAAGATGAAATGATTGAAAAATCAGTGAGCGACCTGAGAGCGAGCCTCCACGGCTCAGGTGGGAAATCCTAGAAATTTCTTGCACATTTCACAAATTTTTATTAACTCAAAAAGGCTGTTCACCATTTTTAAGGCTCTTATGTTAATGATTATAAAGGGCTGCATGGTAAGCAACGCTTTTTAAAAGTTTCTTTAGAGATATGAGTTAAATCGTCTAGTTACCGATAACTACAGGTATGCACAGAAACAAAAGTTGTCCACTAGATGGGGCTGTCACATGTGTTGAGTCACATTTTTACGTGACTCAAGGTGGTACAGCTTCTTAAAGGGACATGAATGTTCCCAACCTACACACCTTTTCATGTTTTTCCCGTCAAATTTATTGACATAGAAAAACGATCTCGATAAAAGTCAAAAATTTCGATAACGATAAATGTTTTATTTATTGCCCAGCACTATATTGTGCTCAACTAGATTTATTAAATTCAGTCTGCATTAAAGCTATTATCTAATTTTGACCACCTCAAAAGGAATGATCGTGGTTCTATCACCTGCAGAAGGATGAGTTCAGGGAACAATTACCTCATCTTGTCTGCACAAGAGAAAATCACGTAATGGACTGGGACAGCACACGGATCATAAACACAGAACAACAAAAATGCAAAAGATGGATTAAGAAAGCAATAGAAATAAGGAGACGTGGACCCAGGACCATGAACAGAGACGATGGAGTTTACACATTGGACTTTGTCATCGGCGAGGAGGGCGCGGGCAGTAGAGGGCGACATCATACTAAGCTTCCCGCAGATAAATGGAGAAGAAAGAAATGCCAACAACCTCGGCAGGGCACTGAGGAAGGCTACAACGTTAGCTGAAACTGGTCAGAAAAATATAGGTAAAAACAAATCTTGTACAACGCAACAAAGGAAGGATTACACAGAACGACGTACAAAGGTGTTCCAAAAAAACAAAAAGAAAGAGGTTCTCCTGGACTTTAGAAGAAGTTGTTAAATTAAAAACTACATTTTTCTACTCAGACTGAGTTGAGATGGTGGGAAATCACAGGAAAAGTATGTTCAGCTAGAAAAAGCCACACTCTGTTTATGTCATCTTCTAAAGAAGCTTTAGAAAGAGAGTTATGGAATGATCTGGATTCCCTACAGCAGATGGACCATGCACAACTCACTGAACATACTGGACAGCTTCTGCACAGCAATTAAGCAATAAGTTATTGTGCATGATTTATTTTCAAATTTTGTGATCAATAATCTGCAGCAGACAACTTAAAAACTTTTCTACTGTAGTTTCTCATCATTAAAACACGAGCTGGACTCGACTGGTTTTATTAACCCGACGTTCCTCTTGGACAAAGCAGTTTCAGGCACGGTGGAAAAAAACCTCCTCTGTGTGCTGGTGGAAAAAACCTCCTCTGTGTGCTCACAGATAAACCCTTACACCATCATATTGACTCCAGGAGGACATGTAAGCTGAGAGAAACAGTCTGAGTGGTGGAAATGTTCCAGTCATGAGAAAACGGCATCTGTGAATGGAGCTTCTGTTGGTAAACGAGAGGAACTCTGATCCTGCTGTGACACCATCCTATCAAAACTATCAACCTGTTTCATATTTTTATCAAAACTTTATCAGAAACATAACGTATATAAAGCCAATCTGGTAAACGTGTGTGTATTCTCACCAGTACAGTACTCTTTCCCCCCGCTCTGAGGCACAGTTATCTGTCTGTATATGACCGGCTTGGCCTGCAGGATGTTTTCGTCATGGCGATAGGACTGTGCTTTCTGCTCCACCTGAGTGCTGTGATGCTGATCTCTGTGGTCGCTGATTCCATCGATCTGGGAGAAGACGGCGGCCTTGTCGAACAGAGCCAAATTCCCCTCAAAGTCAAAGTCAGTGTCCAGGTTCTCGTTGGTCCCATCGCCGAAGCACTCGTCATCCTTGGACCGCACTGGTCCTCTGGTCCTCACGCCATTCCTCCTCTCCGCCATCCCTCTGCTGTTTGATGCACCTGCAGGAAACAAGCACAGATAAAGTCTGCTGACTCATTTTCTTTCATTATTTTCTTCATGTTGCATTTTAATGGCTGTTGTGGTCATATTAATTATTAATTATCATTCAGTTTGACAAAAAAAATTTAATCTGTGATAGACTAAATGCAGTTGCCAAACTTACAGAGAATCATAGCTCTGAGCCATCTATTCCCTTAGCCCTCAGCAGCAATGACTTCATGGGATTTTTTACAAATAAAATTAATTCTATTAGAAACAAAATCATTAGCATCCTCCCTAATGCGATTTATTCTTCTTCAGTAAGTGAGGCAGCATCAGAGGTAACTGTAGAACCTCATCTGTGTTTGAACTGTTTTGATCCAGTTGAGCTTTCAGTTATCAAAAATATTAGCTTCATCTAAACCTTCAACTTGCATTTTAGATCCAATCCCAACCAAATTATTTAAAGATGCATTTCCTTTGGTTACTGCCCCCATTCTAGATATAATCAATCTATCCTTAGTAAATGGATACGTACCACAGGATTTTAAGGTTGCTGTAATCAAACCTTCACTTAAGAAGCCTTCTCTGGATCCAGGTGACCCAATGAATTATAGACCAATATCTAACCTTCCATTTTTATCCAAAGTCCTGGAGAAAATAGTGGCCATCCAAGTATGTCAGCATTTAAACACTAATGCTCTGTTTGAGGAATTTCAGTCTGGTTTTAGAGAGTATCATAGCACTGAAACTGTGTTAGTGAGAGTTACAAATGATATTCTCATGGCCTCAGATAAGAATCTTGTGTCTGTTCTAGTCTTGTTAGATCTCAGTGCTGCCTTTGACACAGTTGATCACAATGTTCTTTTAGAAAGACTTGAACATGTTGTAGGGATCAAAGGAACAATGCTAGGCTGGTTTAAATCCTACCTGTCTGATAGATTTCATTTTGTAAATGTACAGTGATCCCTCGTTTATCGCAGTAGATGCGTTCCAGACCTGGCCGCGATAGGTGAAAATCCGCGAAGTAGGGACACCATATTTACAGTATTTATTTAACAGGTACGTATTCAGTATTCAGACTTTTAAAACCCTCCCTTTACATAGTACTGTATTTTCACTTGGTTTTTTTTTTAAGTTTTATTACAAAAAGTGCATTTTATGATGAAATTGATGAAAAAAACAGGAATTTCTTGATATTTCGCATTAAAAAAACGCGAATCAGTGAAAAATACCGCGAATCGGCGAATTTCCCTTGAATAAGGCTCCAAAGAAAAAATACGCGAAGTAGTGAATCCGCAATAAACGAACCACGAAGTAGCCAGGGATCACTGTACATGACAAATCTTCATACTCCAGGGTTACTTGTGGAGTACCACAGGGTTCAGTGCTTGGACCAATTCTTTTTACTATATATATGCTTCCAATTGATTAAATCATTAGACAGCATGGGATAAACGTCCACTGTTATGCTGACGATACTCAGTTATATTTATCCATTAACCCTGATGAAGCTAATCGGTTGGGTAGATTACAGGCTTGTCTTGAGGACATAAAAAATTAGATGACTCAAAACTTTCTGCTTTTAAATAAAGACAAGACTGAAGTTCTCATCTTTGGACCTGAAATTCTGAAAAGAAAACTACTTAGTCAATCACCTGACCTGAACGGCAGTAAATTAATCTCCGAGAACAAAGTAAGAAACTTGGTATTATTTTTGACCAGGACATGCCATTCAAATCCCACGTTAAACAAGTTTGTAGGATTTCCTTTATCCACCTTCGGAATATTGCTAAGATTAGAAGCATCCTTTCCAGGAGTGATGCTGAAAAACTAGTTCATGCATTTATTACATCAAGACTGGATTACTGTAATTCATTACTCTCAGGAAGTCCACAGAATGTAGTTAAAAGTCTTCAGCTTGTCCAAAATGCTGCAGCTAGAGTTCTGATGAGAATTAAAAAGAGAGATCATATCTCTCCTGTCTTAGCTTCCCTACATTGGCTACCTGTTAAATTCAGAATAGATTTTAAGATCCTTCTTCTCACATATAAAGCTCTTAATAATCAAGCTCCATCATACATCAGTGACCTGATTGTTCCATGTGTTCCTAACCGAGCACTTCGCTCTCAGACTGCAGGTCTACTGGTGGTTCCCAGAATATCTAAAAAATAGGATGGGAGGCAGATCTTTTAGCTATCAGGCTCCTCTCTTGTGGAACCAGCTCCCAGTTTTAGTCTGTGAGGCAGAGACCCTGTCTACATTTAAGAATAGGCTTAAAACATTTTATTTGATAGGGCCTATGGTTAAAATCTGATGTTAGCCTAGATCTGGACAAGTGGGGGAGTACAGGGAGGTGGAGTGTACAGTCGGTAAAGACGGCTCTCCCTTGCCCTGCTTCCAATATGCCTCCATCTAAAAAGGCTAGGTTATCCAGTTATCTCAGTAGTTATGCTGCTATAGGCTTAGACTGCTGGAGGACACACTGACCACTTTCCACACTCGACTACTTTCTTCTATAATTTGCTCTTAAACTGTATTATTTCTTGCTATTTCAGCTGTTAACTTTATTTTTTCTCTAAGTGTTTTTCTCCCCAGAAGAAGCTACAATGATGTTCTGCTGAGCTGTGGTGGCCTCATGGAGGGGGCCATCAGTTAGCACACTGTTGCTAACCACTTAAACATTTCCCCTCTCCTGATAATAACATTTTACTCTCTTTGACAATGAATGTGCTACTACTAGTTTACCCGTTTAATTATAGATTCACTAGGATGAATACAATTAAGTCTATCTCTCACCAAATAGAATATCTACAAAGAAATCACAATGTAACCAAAGGCACACTACTTGGTATGTTTGTGTGTGTGTGTGTGTGTGTGTGTGTGTGTGTGTGTGTGTGTGTGTGTGTGTGTGTGTGTGTGTGTGTGTGTGTGTGTGTGTGTGTGTGTGTGTGTGTGTGTGTGTGTGTGTGTGTGTGTGTGTGTGTGTGTGTGTGTGCGTGCGTGCTCGGTCTTCTCCATCCCCAGTGAGTCATGATGGATGGCTGCTTATACTGAGCCAGGATCCTCTGGGTTTGCTTCCTGTTAAAAGAGAGTTTTCCTCTCCAATGTCACCAAATGCTTGCTTAGTAGGAGGATTGCTTTAAAGACTATGACACCAGTCAGTGACTTGATGCAATTTGCTGGGTTCCATATATAGGAAACATTTTTCTGATTGGCTTAATGAAATGACCTGTATTGGAATGTTTACTATGTGAAGTGCCTTGAGACGACTCTTGTCGTGATTTGGCGCTTAATAAATAAACTTGAATTGAATTGAATCCCAACAGTCAAGAGGACCGTGACTAAGACGATGTTAAACAAAAAGATCAGGCCAATTCCTGCTCTGACCTGCTGGTGGCAATTAGAAGAAGAAGTTTGCGACTCTCAAGATAAAAATCACAAGGTCTTAGATCTCTGTAGGAAGCCGTGAGAGAACTGTGGAGGAGTTGCAGGTAAAATTAGACTAAATTGCAAACTAAGGAGATGGTGGTGTCCTTCTCAAACAGAGAGCACTGGTTACGTTACCGCTGCCTCCACTATCATTCATGGACAGCCAGTGGAGCTGGTTGAAGAGTATAAATATCTAGGGACCACCTTTGATCACCTCCTGAAATTCGCTTCCAACACCGAGGACATCCTCAGAAAGTGCCAGCAACGACTCTACCTCCTGAGGAAGTTGAATTCATTTGGAGTCAGGAAGGACATTTTACTGACTTTCTATTATTCTTTTATAGAGAGTATTATCACATTTTCCATCCCCTGTTGGTTTTATTCTGTCAGCCTGCAGTATAGAAACCGTCTACAAAGCACCGTCAAGGTGTGCTCTCGGATCATTGGACTACCACTGCGAAACTTTACTTCTCAATGTGACCAGCATACAGGAAGTTTAGCACAGAAAATCATTAACGACCCATCACACCCTCTTCATACTGTTTTCGAGTGTCTGCCCTCCAAACGCCGACTTCGATGCCCATGCTGTAAAACACAGAGGAGGAGAAGTTCCTTTGTTCCCAGAGCTGTGCTTCTTCTTAATTCTTAGTGCCGATAGGGGGTGTGTGCATTACTTGTATGTGTGCGTGCATGTAGTTACATGTATGCATGTGTATTTGTGTGTGCGTGTGTGTGTATGAGTGTGTGTGTGAGCCAAAGGTTTACGCATTGTTGGTCATTCACATGTGAGGTTATGACATGAATGTGTATATAGGTTTTATGGGTTTTACGAATGTGTAAATTGGTCGTGTTTTTAGAATTTAGAGATTTTAGTGCCGGTTGCTTCACAATGCTGTCTCGAATTGTCCCTCGGGGACTAATAAAGTTGTCTTGAGTCTTGAAATTAGGATAAGAATCACTTTCTGACTAAAATACATAAAAAACTATCCAAAAGTCACAATTCATTTGCAATCTTGTTATACACCAATAGAACGTGTGTAGAATTGTGGCCTGTTCAAATGAAATGTGAATCCAACAGAAAACCTGCAGAATGTTTCTAACTGGTTGCCAACAGTCACATCCCAGTGAGATTCTGGTTTTTTGCTCCCGTCATAAATACAATTCCAGTTCATAATTCTACAAATTGTAGAACTTTCCACAATGAATGTACTGTGAAAGAACCCTGCAGTAATGTTTAACCTCATGGATGGTGATAAACCAACAAGGCTTCACATGCAATGGTCGACTGAGCGGCACTTGATAAAGTTTACATAAATCTGAGCACAAACAAAAAACAAAATGAACCAAGAGCAGAAAAAAGAAGAGAAAACTGGAAAAACCTGGCCTTCAACTCCAACCATGAGCAGCTCTCACGCTAACCGGGAGAAAGAGAGGCTCAGTCTCACGCTACTGTCACTGTGACAGCTAAGGTGCTCCGGCCTCTCTCACGCAAGACACTGAGAAACTACAGGTGCACATCTAGAGCTGCAAACGCTCAGGTAGTTTTACACTTGTCTGAATATGACAACAATGGAACAACAACAGCTGG